CACACACACACACACACACACACACACACACACACACACACACACACACACACACACACACACATATGTATTGTCGTATCTTATTGCAATCCCTCAATTACAGCCTCTCGTTTCATGCCCGTTTTCTTGCAGATGGTCGCCCAGCTTCTTTCAGAACGGCTGATTCCATTTGTGGCCCTTGACGTTCGCAGGTGAGTCAAAAGAGATTGATCAAGTAATCTCTTATCTTAGAGTGCAGAAGTTGATTTGAACGGGGTCTGCTACTTTGTCTGCAAGACTTTGGAAGTGTGGACTCTTTCTGAAATTTGCTCATGGATCCATTGTAGCATGGTGATACAGGCCAACCATTCGGCTGATTCCATTTGTGGCCCTTGATGTTCGCAGGTGAGTTGGAAGAGAATCAAGAGATTGATCAAGTAATCTCTTATCTTAGACTGCAGAAGTTGATTTGAATGGTTTCTGCTACTTTGTCTGCAAGACTTTGGAAGTGTGGACTCTTTCTGAAATTTGCGCATGGATACATATGGTACTTACAGGCCAACCATTCAAAAAACCGTTTTGCGTGTCTTGTATGTGTGCACAGCGAGAGAGTCTCGGCAGGACGGGCCATGGACCTACCTGTCTACTTTGGAGATGCTGGCAGCCGTGAGGTACCCTCCCTCCCCCCCTCCCTCCCTCCCTTTCCCCCCTCTCTCTCTCATGTATGTAATTATTCTCTCTTGCTTGGGAGTAGCATTGCTCTTAGCATCCGTCAACCCGAGTGCTACTTCAGTCCTTGCCTTGCCTGACCCTACAGGCAAGGCCAGGTCATGACATGCTTCACTCTTCACAATAGTGCCCATCCGATCTCCAGAGAGCTATATTAGATAGAGAAGGAATCAAATATGAAAGAAACAATTTGCTTCACTACCAGTAATAGTACCGAAAGCAAAACTAACGACTATCTTCATGACCTCTTCTTTTTTTTATTTTTTTTGAGGAAGTGACCGATTGAAATACATGAATGAAACATCGACTGTCCGAAACCCCTGGCCCATCTCCTTTAACCCCCCGTCCTCCCGCTTCCTTATATGGTCCTAACTGTTAGAGAGGTGTAAGATTATTTTTTCTCCCCGTATGGTGGCGAGCTTTCCAGACCCTAGGGTCGTGTATTCGGAATGACTCTGGATATTCTTGGCTTCCTTTGGGTTTTGCTGCATCTTCTGTCTCACTCTCCTCCATTGGGCCCTTTTTTCAGTTTCCAGCATACTCCTAAAGCACTACCTCTTCTTGTGTGAGCAAGCGTTAGACGTTAGTATATTTTATATTGGTTCAATTTGTGGTTGTAATAAGGCCAAGTGTCGACAGCCGTTGCATAGTCCTTGGGTTCCTGCTTAGGAATAGCACAGGGAAGTAATAGGTAACCCAGGGAATAGCACAGGTTGCACAGGTACTTACAGGCTATTAGACCTTCCTGCTACGTCTCCCACGAGCAATTGGCCCGAGGCCTACTGTCACATAGCCCATCTGATTGCTATTTGGTAAGCAGGAAGTAGTGCTGAATTCAAAATGTTTAACATATCCCAACAAAAATTCACAAGAACCTCCCTGTGGTGCTGCTGTCATGCGGATCTTGGTTTTGCAGCTAAATCTAAAACATGTTCCTTTTGTTAAAAATTCACAAAAGAGACCCTATGTTGCTGTTGGTTTGCAATTCTAACCCTGGGAAGCTGATTTGTCCAGCCAGGTGACAAGTTGACCACCCCGGATCGTTGGACCGGATGAGCGAGTTCCATGACTTAGGTTCAGTGCTTGGTAGTGTTAACTCTAGGATTTGCTGGAATTGTAAGGAATATGATTCAATCGTATTACATGTGGGACCATTGCAGCTTTACCTGCAACAAACCTTTTGTGTGTGGGGTTGTGGGCATGTATTTGTCTGTGTGGGTGTGTGTATGCTCTGTGTGCGGTGTCATATGCGCTATACACTAAAAAAAAAAGCATGATTGTGCCAGACTGTTTTGTCGGACTTCCACCGACTCATCAGGAGGTTGTGTGTGCACGTACTTGTTCCGAGTGCGTGGGTGTGGTGTGTGCATGCGCTGTGTGTGTGTGTGTGTGTGT